CCAGGCATCGCTGTCCCCTGAGGCCACACCTCCTCGTTCTGATGTTTGCTCGCTCGCTCAGCGTGTCCACAGCCTCCTCGCAGAAGTACACCTCCCTTTGCCAGCCGTGCCCGGCTACCCAGGGTGTGGTCCGTCTGCCCAGGATATCCTGCGTCTCGGTGCCCGTCTGCCTGGCCTGGCACAAACAGGAAACGCCCCACGGCGGTGAATACACCGCTTCCCGTTTGCTCCGTCCTGCGCTGCTGTGTTGGGACGGGGCAGCAAACTATTCCTGAATGTGGGCTGAGGATCTGCTGCTCTACGGTGGGACTTCGAGTTCGCTGCCCGTCGGATGGGTGTCATATTCCTCCTTTAACATAAACACGATCTCACTTTCATTTATAGCCTCTGGTACCTTCAGGAGCTCTGCACATCTGCAGTGCTTTAAAGTGTGAATTGACCACATTTCTCGTGCAAGGTGTAAGACAACCACACTTCCTGTGCATGGTGTGAGATGACCTCACTTCATGTTAGACAGCACGGATATCACAACACCATTATTAATAGCTTGTGTGCCTGCTTAGTTGCTCAGTGTCGCCGCCCTGTGGGCTGTGTGCAGATTATGCCATGTTTGGAGGGGGCGCTACCCTTGCTCATCTGTCTGATTGCTGTGTTCTGCTGTGCTGGACTATAGAGAAGCTGTGGTGACGTCTTCCGGTTCCTGTAGGATTTCTGATACAAACTATCTCAGTGAGGTCATTGAAATCACCATTCCATCGCTTTCACCAGACTAGTTCATGTTAATTTTCAGTTAGTTTTTAAGGGTACCCCCCCCCCCAACCTAAAACGCCCTGACTCCCATACCACCTGCTGCTGTGGCTTAGCTTTGGCTTCAGGTTGGCATCAGCCATCAGCCCCCTCGGGGGCACCGTGTTCCGCTGAGGCAGACTGAGGGGCTGCAGCTTGGCTGTGTCCCCCCCCAGTCCTCTGAGCCCCGCTGGTCAAAGGTTAAACCAGCAGAGCAGAGGTGGTGGGGAGGCGAAGGGGTTGAGGTACAGTAAGATCTACACAGCAACCTGGTGAGTCCCATTCCTCACTGGGGTGAGGTGGGGGGGGCAGCTTCCGTCTGTCCTGGGGGAGGCGGCATCACATGGTTTGCTTGTGCCTCCGGAGGTCGATTTGGAGATGCCCCTTCCTGTGCCCGTCTGGGGGTATTTTAAGGCTCTTTGTATGCAAGGTAAACATTGGACCATAACCTCAGCTGATCAACGTGCCATTCATACAGCTGAATGGTCTCTCTTAGAAGACCCCCCCGCCCCCTTAATGGCAGCTCCTCCCAAAAGAGGAGGCTTTATGCCAGTCTTTGCAGACACCGCTCCTGTTTTCACAGTCAAACAGGTTTTCTCTTTCATTCAGTCCACTTCCCCTCTCTGCTTGTAGTGTCAGCTGTGGGTCACTCAGCTATAGTGCAGTCAGCTCCAGTGCTCGATGCCCATTGGTCAGCTGCCGTGTATCCTTCGCCTTCATTGGCTGGCTGCAGCTGTGCCATGTGACCACCATAGGTGTGGTTCCATTCCTTTTCTGTTACACCATAGGTTCCAGATGAGCTCACAGAGCCACAATTCCAAAAAAAACTGAACTGCGAGGTTTGTAAGCGGGTACAGTCTCCTGTGTCCAGTGCCCTGATTACTACAGCATCCTGTGCACCTCCAGCCCTGTGTTCATCTGTACTGTGGTTGCCTAAATGGCCTGGGGTCTGGCCATTTGCAGTGTGCTATTAAGCAAAACATACTGGGGGTCATTAATGTCCCCAGCCTGCTGTCCACTGGGGCTGGGGCCACCGTTGAGTTTGTCCTGGGGGGACAGGCATGCAGGGGGCCAGCATCGCCCACGATGCATGAGACACGGCTTCCGGCAGCTTCCGTAGCACCCCACACACGGTATACTCTCCCTGCCTGCAGCAAGAGCAAATACAAGATGCGGAGGGTGCTCCAGTTGCTCCCCATCTTTGCACGTGCGTTCGTTTGCTCCTGCATTCATTCGTTTGCGCTTTCGTCCGCATGCGCCTGCATACTGACGGCCCCCCTAACAGCCGCTGGCCCTGGGCAGCGTGGGAAACACACACGCGGATTTATGGCCTCTTCCAGTGGCGGTCGGCCTTTTGAGGGCCCCTCAGATTTATGCTCCGGTCTCTTGCCCCCCCCACAGGCCCTGCAGAAGCTGGCTGGCCAGTACTTAAAGAGGGACTGGCCCAGCGTCAAGGCGGATGAGCGTGCCGACTACAGGTACTCCGGTTCTTACCCTTTAGCCTCTGGACATAGAGCAGCTTCCCCCGAGTTTCCTCCCAGCCCTAACGGCCTTTTCTTCTGTCCCCCCCCCCACAGGAACGTGTACGCAGTATGGCAGGCCTACCTGGAGGGCACGGTGCAGGTGACCCAGTCGCGCATCAACATCTGCGACGGCTACAAGAGTGAGATCTCGGACCCAGCTAAGGCCGTCAAGTTGTACAAAGAGCAGCAGCTAAAGAAGGTGCGTGAGGGGTCTGCCATGCTGCACAGCGCTCTGGGGGCGCCAGGCCGGTCTGCCGCACGCTGGGGGTGGACAGTGAGGGGTCTGCCATGCTGCACAGCGCTCTGGGGGCGCCAGGCCGGTCTGCCGCACGCTGGGGGTGGACAGTGAGGGGTGACAGGACCATTGTCCACAGTCTTTTCTGAATACAAAGAACATTCTGGAAAGTACTTCAGGCAAGATGACATTTGGCACTCAAATGGTGATTTACTCTGTTCCCGTTTAATTACTGAATAAATATGAAATATGTCAAATACTTTGCATTGTAAAATGTGCCTGGTGATGCACTGGAGCGGCATCCTGGGTTATCCCCCCCTCCCTGACCCTGCATAGGACGGATAGAAATAGAAAATTGATGGATGCACTTTTAAAACAGTTGTTTACAGAAATTATATTCACAAGGCTCTTCTCCCATGCAGTTTGCTGTTCTCTGTGTTTTTTAACTCCATCCGTGCTGCCCCCCCCCAGTGTATGGACCACCTGACCCGCGTCCAGACCGAGCTGCAGGACACCGTAAAGGAATTGGCCAAATCCAAGAAGAAGTACTTTGAACTGGAGCAGATGGCCCAGGCTGTGAGAGAGAAGGCCGACATCGAGGCCAAGTATGTACCCCGCCGGCGGGGGGGGTCGCCCCGTCCTGCTTGACCGCGGCCCGGGAGCGGAACCTGACCCCTCTGCACTTTCCAGATGCATGCAGGCAGCTCTGCATCAACGTCAGTGTGCAGAGTCATTACAGCGCCGCCCATCTTAGCAGGGTGGGGTGGGTGGGTTTTTGGCAGAAGCACTGCCCCCTACAGGCGGTCCTAAACATTACTTGTTTAGGACTCATTGGTGTCCAGTAAACGATACTCATTAGGCCTCACCCACCCCTTACACCTGTTGTCTCTGTGGGGGGGGGAGATTCTCTCACACACACAGGATATGTTTAACATGCGCTACTGTCCCATTCACCGTTAAGCATGAGTTATAATAGCCTTACAGGGGAGGCCGTGCAGCCTGGAGGGGGGGTGGGAGGGTGGGGCTTTTCTGTAAGGCTCTGAAATGCGCACACACTGAAATGCGCACACACTGAAATGCGCACACACTGAAATGCGCACACACTGTCTGTAACTAGCTGCCTCTCTAACTAGCAGGAAGTGCTTTTACGTGATTAGTCACCCAGGTAACTGCAGGGAGCACAGCATTGCATTTCTGATTCTCATCCTGCTCCCCCCCCCCCCACACACACACCTTCTCAGGTCCAAGCTGAGTCTCTTCCAGTCCAGAATAAGTTTACAGAAAGCCAGCGTGAAGGTAAGCCACAAGCTTCCCCCTTAAAGGCACTCTGTTAATACACGTTAACCTCCACATCGACCTGAATTTAATCTGCCTGATAATGTGATTATTATGCCTGTCATATGCTGTATCTGACAAAGTATAGCCTCAAGCCTGGGGGAGGGAGGGGGAGGGGCATTTAATCACATGACCCCCAATTCACATGACCTGTCCCAAGTGATTTGGCCTATTGGTCTGTCGCAGTTAAAAGCCAAGAGGAACGACTGCAACTCGAAAGCCACACATGCGCGGAACGAGTACCTCCTCACCCTGGCAGCGGCCAACGGCCACCAGGAGCGGTACTACCAGACGGATCTGACGGGCTGCATGAAGGTATGGGGGGGGGGGTGCAGACACGCGCGCACGCACACACACACACACACATACACACACACATATACACACATACACACGTGTGCTTAGGGAGAGCTGCCTTCCCACCCACGATCCTCTCCCCGTGTGGGTCATCACTCACTGCCTGTCCCCGAGGCCCCCTGTGGCTGGGTACCAGGAGGATGCCGATCAGGGGGTGCTGCCCCCACCAGGCAGAGCTGAGGGAACGCTAACTCCCCCAGGCAGCCTCGTCAGAAACTAAAAAACGAAATTACGCCAAAAAAAGCTGGTGGTGAACTATTGTCTGTCATTCTTGGTCCTTTCGCTCCCGGGCCGCGGGACAGAAAGCCGATCTAACGTGTGGTCCCGACCCTCTGCCTCATTGCTCTGTTCTGATTGGCTGGGAAGTTGCCACGGTAATGGCCTTGCGACGCTGTGCCGGGACCTGCAGAAGTCCCCAGGCAGGGGGAGTCTGGAATCACTTTCCCGCCCCCCCATCAGAGCTCCGACATCCCCCCCCCCCCCCCCTTCTCTTCCTGCACAGGGAAAATCAACACTGGAGGGTTTTAAAATGCTTCAAGGCGCCCCCTCCTGTCAAGTTCGTGAACTGCTAGCCGGTCGCATGATACGCAAAAATCGCCTGTGCCAGATGGTTATAAAATCCTGTGAGATGCACATTCCAGCGCTGCATCTGATGATGGGCTGTGTGTTCCGAGCAGGACCCAGCGCTTCCTGTTTTCGGGAAGAGCTTCTTGTGCGCACATGCAAGCTGTCTGATGAGTTTCATTTTAAGCTGTGTGCAGTGTTGGTCCTACCTGGCTGCTGGGAGTGTAACTCAAGCGTGATCCATCGCTCAGGTTTATACTCTGTCCCTGTGCACTCGACACGACCGAGACTTTGCTCCAGCCTCCAGTCATGCTGTTTTAGCTGCATTAGTCTGGGTTTACCCACAGTTATGGGTCAGAGGTTTCTCAGTGTTGAAAGACATGATGGCAGGGATGGTATTATAGACCAGTGCAGACCTCTGTCATCGTGAACTGGGACAGACCTCCATGCTTCTGAAGGTGATGACTGCCCGGTTAAATCAGACGCTTGTATGCAAAGATGTTTGCGATCAGGGACTCATCCGCACTCTCTGTGTGGCAACAGTGTTCGCCAAACGTCGCTCATGTGTTCTCAGCTTATATAAATTGGTAGTGATTCACATCAACTGTGATCACAGACACGGCCCTGTGCACACACTCACTCGCAGGGTGCACGTGACTCGGCGTCGCCTCCCAGTGGCAGTGCAGGTGCCCGCGGCCGTAACCATCCCGCTCCCAGCTGGAACAAACCCAGGAAGTGCTGGGTCGCCAGACCCCCAGAGACGGGAAGTAAGAAATCACTTAGTGGAGCATGGAGCGGGGGGGGGGGGCTTTCGGGAGGAAGCAATGTTTTTCATACCTCGTTGCTGACTCATAAAGCATCCGTCTCCAGGACGGAGGGGGGGGGGCAGCCTTCTTGGAACGTGGAGTGAGTCAGACAGGGCCGTAAGTCACCTGGCACTCTGTGAGCTTGGTGTTCTGTCGCGGTTCCCCCTGTGCAGCCGGTCATCTGCGGTTCTCCGGCTGCTTCTGTAAACTCAGCAGCCTCGTGTCCTGGATGTGTGCTTTCGGGATGGGTCGCATCGGCTGAGCTGCTGTGCTCTGCTCTGTCGTGCCGTGGCGCTCACCTGCCTCCCCGGTGACCCGCGAACCTGCACCGGGCAGTGCGGCCGGGCTCGGCGCTGACGTCACGCCGATGGCTCCCTGCCTGCTCTCTCAGGGCTTTTGTAGGGACGCTCGCTCCTCTCCGTGCGTCAGGGTCTGGGAATCTGAACCCAGCCAGCGCGGTTTGAACATTCCTTTCCAGGCCAGAAAAACAGCGAGGCTAAATAAACGTTCTCTCCTGCAGGTTTGTCTGACGCGGCAGCATGGCCCCCCCCCCACCCGTTTCCCTCATTCTCCCTTTAACCCTTCAGCCTCCCTCTGGCTGACAGCTCAGGATTAGATGTATATGTAATTTTATGACTTTACGATGAAACTTTTCCATGTGGACCTGCCACAATTCACCCCCTTTTTCTCCTGATGGTTTTTCCCGTTTCCCCCCTCCTCTCAGACCCTGGATGGTAACTTCTATGACCATGTGAAGGAATACCTGATGTCCTTCTGCCGTATGGAGCTGGAGGCCTTCCAAGCCGTGCACACCACCTTCCAGTTCCTCCTGGAGAAGTCCAGCCGGGTGAGAGTACTTTACCCTGGCACGGTCTCCTAGGAGACAGAGCCGCTCCCCTGTCAGTCTGCTAATTCGGCATCCCGGCACACAGTTGGGGAAAGAGCCGTATGCAGCTGGTATCTGGGTCCGTCATGTCGGCCCTTGTTCCCTCTTTCCTGGTCTCTCTCTCTCTCCTCCCCCCACCCACCCCGGTCGGGTGTCTCTCAGCTGAAGGTCACAGGTCTCCCCCATGTCCCAGCTAGTGAGTGCTTTGATGTTGTTTTTCATGATCTTGTTTTTTTGTTAATCTGCCTCTTATTGTTTGTGGGTCTCGTCCTTCCAGACTCCTGGGTCTGTTGGAATGTAACTTCCATCTTTCCAGCTCTTTTCTCTCCCTGTAACAGTGCTGCAGACCCCCCCACAACCTCCCCAATGTCCCTGTGCCTCCAACCCCCCCGCCAACTCTCCCCCCCCCTAGTCCCAGTGCCTCTAATCCCCTCTTCTTTCCATTTTAACTGCTCAGGTGATGCAGGATTTCAATCAGCAGCTCTTCATGCAGGAGAACCCCATCTTCCACAAGGCACCAGCTTTCCAGTTTCAGCCCAGTGACAGCGACACGGTGGGTAGTTGGGTCGCCACACCCCCCCCTCCTTTCTAAACCAAACTAACTTAACTAACTAACTAATCAACCTCTTAGCTAAATCACTCATACTTATGTACCCCTCAGTTAGTCAACACTGTACTCTGCTATAGAATATCCTATACAGTACCTGCGGAATATTCTAGAACACTTCACTGATGCTGAAAAAGCCTGCTGCAATGCAGTCTAAGACTGTCATAATTAAAACTCATTGTTATCTGTTAGCCCCCCCCCCCCACAGTGATAAGGTGTCCCCGTGGTCACGGGGGTGTGTTGTTAGCGAATGTGTGATGCAGTAGTGACCGCGTGCGTAATTTCAGCATTTTGCGTCCAGCGTCTTATGAAATATTCACGGGGCCCTTTTTTGGGGGGGGGGAACAAAAATTGCTCCCAGGCACTGACAGATGTCGTGTAGTCATGACTCTGTTTCCGTAGCAACCATAGACCCCCTCCCCCCGGCGTGTTGTGTGCGTGTTGTGTGCGTGTTGTGTGCGCCCTGCTTTACACGTTTAGCCCATCTGGCCTGAGCACGCTTCCCTCACGCTAAGGAACGGCACCGCTTGATGGCAGCTCGTCACGCTCACACGCCTTGGAACGCCTCACGCACTTGTTCACCCCAACACACACACACACACACACACTGACCTGCTGGCTGACACCCTCCTCTGTAGCACTAACCCAGACCGCTCTCTCCCCCGGACCGTCTCTCTCTCCCTGTATGCGCTCTGTCTGTCTCTGTCCGTCTGTCTGTCTGCTCAGAGTTTAAGCGTGGTCCAGCAGCTGGTGGACATCGAGCCGTCGCCGGTCAGTGCCATGCGAATGACCCTGGCCCAGGTAGAGCCCAGCCTTGCTGAACGACCCCGCGTTGCCCTCCCACCCCCAACCCTGATGCGCCTCCCATCTGTCCATCTCCATCGCATGCGTTGGGGGATCGGGGCTCGCTGGGGGTGTCCATGTGCAGGCTCTTACATGTGGGTGTGGGGTACATGCTCAATACAAATCCTGCCTTTCTATACTGTACGGTAACCAAGCAACAGCCCTGGCATGTCAAACCCAGCCCATACTCTCTCTGCTCCAGCAGGCTGAACATTGCTCCTCAGATGACACCCATTACCCATCATGCATTGGTGGTGGGGCACAGCAGGAGGCTGTACTGGGCAGATAAGGGGTGGCTGCTATGTGGACTGTCAGTGGGTCACCTGTGAAGGAACAGACAGGCAGGCAGAGGATTATGGGATATTCCAGGGGAGTGAGGAACCAAGACGCTGAAACGCCATTTCACCTCCATAAATTGGCATTGGCCCTTCCGTGGAAATGCTCATTACCCAGAATGCACTGCTCAGCTGAAGAGACCTGGCAGCATTTAAGCCGCAGGGGGTGGATTCCACCTCACTCAGAGCGTGGAATGTTTTTACCGCGGTGTTTCTGCCGGCGGCCTTGCTGGCCACGTGTAGGATTCTCAGATTTTCTCCTCACTGGAGTCTGTCTTGTGGCTCTGATACAGAGACGGAGGTCTTTTAATCAAAGCTTTGCTATGCTAACGGCCAATTCTGGTGGGTTTCGGCTCGTCTGAGTCGGCCGGTGACTTTCCAGAGGAGGCACAGAGATAGCTGATCCGATTGGCCGGCTGGCTGCTCTGTCATGCAGCAATAGGCTCTGCCCCAGCTTGGGTTGGGGGCAGGGGCCTTTTCACACTGATCAGTAGGGGACACATAAATGAAGTTTTCACAGACCTAGGCTGCCTGGAACTCTGATACGCCGGATGCTTCCTGAAGCTGGCAGTGCATGCTGGGAAATGTGTGGGAGATTGGTGCCCAGGCTGCACCGCCTGGCTGGGCCGGTGGGGAGGGGGTATGGGCTTGGATCAGGCTCCGTGTGGAGAGGCTGATCCTGAACACTCTGGCTCTGCGCTCACCCCCAAGCAAAATGCTCGCTCTGCATCCAGCCACGTGCTGAATTCACAATGCCGCTTCAGAGCCCCCCACTCCGAAAATGGAACAGGCTCTGGTCTGTTCTTAATAAAATATTAGTGATTTGGTATTCACCCAGGGATATCCGGGGTGGGGCTCCCAGGCAGGCCCCAGGAGCAGCCCTGTGTCGGGGAATGGGGGATGGGGGGTGCCGAGGGCCGAGGGCCGGCGCTGGACGTAGTGCCGGGCCACCAATGAAAGGGCTGCATTGTGTCGGGCCCCACATCTGAGAGTCCCCCCCCATGCACGTGTACAGCTGGAGAAGCTGCTTCATTCCGGGGCCTGGACTACATCCTCCACGCTCTTCCGGAAGATTCTCTAGCACCTGTCTCTGAACAAGTGGCTCGTTGGGAAATGGACACTTCATTGACTCTCGGGCCAATAAAAATGGTTCCGGAACTTGTCATTATCCAGACGTAAATGCTGACCTTCGAACCTCTGTCAGTTTGGTGTCCTTTCTCTCCCGGTAATGGTGGTTTCTGTCCTTCAGAGCATCCTATTTCAGCTCCGAATTGCTACTTGCTGTAAACTCCCCTCCAGACTCAGCTTGTCCCGGAGTTGGATGGTTCCTGCCAAAATGCTTCCTTCTAGCTGGAATTACCGTCATAAAATGCAGTAAATGACTGATTGCCTGGCTCTCCTCTCTCTGTCAGTAGAAACGGGAGGTATTTACCTCCACTCTTGTCATCCTCTGATATTTTCTTCTGTTTTGAACCTGTGACTGAGCTTCCTAGCCGGTCAGGTGAATGCTGCTGTGCCAAGCCAGTGTGTTCAGTTAAATGGAAAATGTGAGCTTAGCCGCACCTCTCTGAGAGTCGCTCTTTCCCTTAAGTAGATTAGCGGACGTTCGCTGCCTTCTACCCCGTTAGAACTGACAGGGATATTTAATGCCTTAATCCCATCTGGGATGTACTGGGGACGGTCAGCTTCTACTCTTCGTGTCAGATGCAGGTATGTGATGGTAACTTACAGACCCCCCAGTAGAGTTTGTGAGACTGGTTAATGTGCGTTTGCTAGTATGGGCCTGTAAATCTCTTATGTGTTAAAGTTACCTTGTTTGCTGGACCCAGATTGGGCTTATTCCTGGTATGGATCTATCTAGCATGGAGACAGTCATCACACCTCTTCCCTCTCTTCCCTCTCTTCCCTCTCTCGCCACTGTGGAGGCTGGTGTGCTTTCCCCCTCCAGGGGAGTAGGGGGGCCATTATCTGACGAGCTCTTCTGTGTCGCAGAGCCGGCAGCTGGAATCTGAGACGGGGACCACGGAGGAGCACAGCCTGAACAAAGAAGCACGTAAATGGGCGACCCGCGTGGCTCGTGAGCACAAGAACATCATCCACAGCCAGCGGGTGGGTGTGGGATCTTCGCCCTCCCCCTAGAGAGCTTTTACACCGTGATGCTCTTTTGTTATTTCGCTTGAGCATTGAGTGCAGTGAGCCTTGTCAAGCCCCGGATGGCCACCTCTGCCTGCCTCTTCACAAAGGCCGATGGAACCTTCTGGAGAGCCTGACTCATCACCTGTGTTTTTGTAGTTGTGGAACCTTCCTGTATGTGGTGTTCTTTGACCGCTGGCCTTCCCCTGTTCGTTCCAGCTTAATGGTCTGTAATAGCCAGGGCCCAGGGACCATCCGGTGGTGGCATGTGACACCAGGGACATGTCGGACACCTCAGGGCCAGGACGATTTTGACCTGGGGTTTGTTTGGGATCAGACAGATGAGGGGCTTTAGCCAGCAGGCGTTATGTTCAGTCATAAATCTGATGTAACTAAAATGATTGTAGACGTTCTTTAAACCTGCCCTGCCTGGTGTTGGTTTGAATGTGGCACCTTTAACCAGTACGCCCCCTGGTGCCTTTGCCCTGCCCTGCACTTATTTTTTCCTTAATTTTCCCGGTGCTGTCCCAGGCGCTAGAGGAGTATGAGACGCAGGGAGCGCTTTCCTCGGAGCAGGGCCGCAGTGACCTGGAGCTGAAAATCGAGGAGATGAGAGAGAGTATCCGTAAGGCAGAGGTAAGGGGGATGCATGCGTGTGTGGACTGTGTGGTTCAGCGGGTGAGGATGCTGTACCTGTGATCAGAAGGTCACCAGTTCAAATCCCATGGTCAGCAGAGTGATGTCACCATTGGGGCCCCTGAGCGAGGCCCTTAACCCCCACAGAGTGATGTCACCGTTGGGGCCCCTGAGCGAGGCCCTTAACCCCCACAGACTGATGTCACCATTGGGGCCCCTGAGCGAGGCCCTTAACCCCCACAGAGTGATGTCACCGTTGGGGCCCCTGAGCGAGGCCCTTAACCCCCACAGACTGATGTCACCATTGGGGCCCCTGAGCGAGGCCCTTAACCCCCACAGAGTGATGTCACCGTTGGGGCCCCTGAGCGAGGCCCTTAACCCCCACAGACTGATGTCACCATTGGGGCCCCTGAGCGAGGCCCTTA